ATATTTCCTCTACCTTTTATTAATTTGACTTATTATAGAGGCTGCCACAATAAAGTAAGCGACATTTTGTTGTTTGACGTTAGATTAACATTTAGAATTCGCAAAATGATGATTATATTTAGCAAAAGCAATTCATATTTAGACGAAGAAGGATAAAAAATGTGAATATAAGTTTATCTGCCACTTTACCTTTTAGCCCCATTCTGCCCTTCTGACCAATCAATGCAGCTCCCGGTAGCCCTGAATCTCCTCGTTCACCCTTGACACCTTTGGGACCAATGAAGCCCTTGGGTCCTTCCTTACCCTGAGGGCCTCGCACGCCTTGAGGTCCAAAAGCGCCGGGGTTGCCTTTGCTTCCTTTGCTGCCCATTTCGCCTTTGTCACCTTGCAAGCCTTTCGGTCCCCTGTCTCCTTGAGGCCCAGGCAGACCATCTTCTCCCAGCTCGCCATTCTGACCACTAGGGCCGGGGTCCCCCTGAGGACCCTGTACTCCTGGTTGGCCTGGCCGTCCAGCCTCGCCCATTGGGCCTGGCCCACCTATAACCCCCTTCAACGTGAGGTCTGGTCTATTGTCCACTCCTCTGTCTCCTTTTTCTCCCGAAAGGCCCTGCGGCCCTGGGTCACCTTTGTACCCTTTTGGCCCAATACTGCCCTGGGTTTGAATGCCAGCTTCGCCTTTCTGTCCTGGCAAACCGCGATCACCCATTTCTCCGGGCCTGCCAGGAAAACCGGGATCGCCTTGGATACCCTTGGGTCCTGGACCGCCTGACTTTCCATCAGGTCCCTTCAAGCCCTTTATACCGGGTTCCCCAGGCAAGCCAATGTCTCCATTCGCACCGCGTTCAGAACCGCCATCCATTCCGTCTGGACCAGGATCTCCCGGATCACCACCCTCTCCAGAGGAGCCACGTTCCCCAAGTTTTCCTCTGGGGCCTTGAACGCCAGTTTCACCTTTAGGACCGGGCAGGCCGATGGGCCCTTTAGGACCCATTTCTCCAACACTGCCTTTCACACCAGGTGCGCCCTCCTCACCGTGCCTTCCAGATTTGCCTTTCTTGCCATCCAAGCCTGGAAGGCCCTTTTCTCCCATTTCGCCTTAGGATAAAATAAAAGCATATTTTGGAGTATATTTCCAGCAAAGTTTTATGCAGTGAGACAATAACAATATATGGTAAATGAAAGGAAGTTATATACGTAAAAACAGTAGAAGTAGTAGAATTGGAGATATCTATTCTTTTAACTGTACTCTTGAGCCTCAAAAGGGTTTAAATTAGGAATATTAATTCATTAACTGTTTCGAAACGGGATATTCGAATGTGTCTGAGGTAAATTTAGGCTTAAAATAAATGTTATTATCTAAACTCAACTTTTAAGGGAGCTTGTAGGGAAGCACGCGCTTAAGATATGACGACTGTCTTCCCTGCGGTAAGCTGAACTGTAGACTAAGCTATTTTATATAATTTAAATTAGACAAATATAAATGGGAAACTGATTCCTTGATATTTATATGCCAAAGTCCCTTATAAAATCATTTTTCTCTGTAATAGCTCTGCTGAACCAAAAGGTAACTAACAAGATCATTAAGCAGAAATTACAAATTATTGATGCCTAACTAAGAAATATCCTTATCTACTTATAAAGAAAACGATGGCTGAATCTTTAATTAAAGTGAATGTCAATAAATTCTCCTGCATCTAGCATTCAAGTAAGCTTATCATTTGTCTGACTGAAAATTATCCTGCATACTATGGACTCCCGACTAGGTGCGCTCAGCTAGGTCTTCCTACCAATATGACCAAGTTGCGAAAACAAGGTCAAACGACTTCCATAAAACGAAAGGAGACTGTGGCTATATAAAAAACCACACAATCTTGGTCTTCATACCCTTGAAGGCTATAAAATTTAAGTTTCTAGACTTCGATGCTAACAGCCGAGAAACCACAAAAGCCTAAGATTTATCAATGATATGCAATATATTTCTGATTTGCTTGAGCATGTTAGCTAACAACCGAAATATGGTGGTTAATGATAGAATTCCAGTCATCACTAAGGCTTACACCAAAGTTAAAAATCCTGAATTCATGGCTTATATTTCAAGAAGGCCACGTAGGAACAATTAGTCTCTTCACACAATCATCATTACTAGTTCGAATAATGTCCACATATTTTTAATAACAAATATCATATCGGACTATAAATAACCAGAATGATTATTTATGATAGGATGATTTGCCAGAATAATTTTAAGAGTTTATCGACGCAATATTCTCTAGTACTCGAAAACCTTGGAAGTTAGCCTGATACTAACAATATGGCTTAGATGGTGAGTAGTAAGCAAGTCGCAGTTAGCTTGTATTGTGTTCTAAGATAGAAGCTTGTAAAATTAAATTATAAGAGAAATAGAGGGTGTTTGCCCTTGTTTTTGCAACATGGTCATATTGGTAGAAAGGCTTAA